AAAGAGTAACTTGCACCTATTCACATCCTTTTAAAACTGCATTTGTGACAAAGTTTAATTAAAGATAAAATTCAGCTCAGTGTCCCTTATTATCCCAAAATACACCAACCTTTTCTAGTTGGTGTTTCCTGACATTTTCTTTTCAGCATTTGACAGCAAAAGCGGTCGACTGCTGGGACCTTTCAAGGCATCAGAGGGATTTCACAGTCTAAGATATCAGTCAAGGAAAGAATACACAGATTTTCCTAAGGAAACACCATGAAACTGGTGGAGAAACTAAGGCAAAACGGTGAAATTATGTTAAACTGGACATCCCTTAGAAGATGGCTAAAAAAAAAATTATAAAAAAAAGCAAACTAGTATGTGAGGCTGCCAAGAGCCTTTCAACAATTTTTAAGGAGCTGGAAGAGTTTCTTAAATTCAACAACAGTCTTTTGTGTTTTTCTAAAGCCTGGGCAATGGAGTTGGCTGGAAAACAGACTTAGTTTTTCTTCTTAAAGTGAAAAAAAATATGTAATTTAGCAAAAAAAAAAAAAAAAAAGGTCTCTTAAAGGCATTAAAGGGGAACACCGTTATGTTATTACATCATGTTCTACTCACCCATATTAGTTTTGTGTCATTTGGAGCTGTTCCGAAGATATTCGGTTTTGTAATCCAAGTAACTTCTTTCTATGGGCAACGACTTAAAGGCACAAACTAAACTGTTCATAATTTGTTCTTTATGGTACGCCAGCATTAATAACATGTGGGCGAATCACTGTCCCCCAGACATCCGCGGTTATATTTTTTAAAACAAAGCGGAGTGTGTATGACGTCATCAAGGGGCCAATGTAAAAAAACAGTGTTCCCCTTTAAGGTCTAATTAAACAAAGGCTGAACTTTATGCAATTCCAAAAGATAAATGCAGTAAAAACAACCCTTTACTCTAGAAGAACACCATGACCAAAGAGATGTATGGTGGTGGCAGCATCATGCTTCGGAAGAGTTTTTTCTATAGCTTAAACCAAGGTAAAGGGAGTATTGAACAGTTTAAAGAAAACTGTCAACGGTGGAACAAAACCTTCAGACTTCTACAATGGAACACAAGATGAGAAATATTATGTTTCAGTAAAATAAAGACCCAACATTTACATCTGAATTATTTAAATCACGGCTCTGAACTGGATATGCGCTCACAATGAGTGCTTTTAGTCGTTTGGTGTCTTGTGTATACATATGCAGACATGTTTCTAACATTACTTAACATCACCCCGCTTAGTTGCCTGCCTCTTTTGTTTTTGTTACTTATGCATATTCTTATCTTTACTTTTCAACCGAATTGTGCCATGTTAAGGTGAGTTCAATGCATATAATAACTTTCCACATGGTTTGCCTGCTGTCGGTCGCCTGACAATTTGCCTCTCCCGTGTGGACATTAGTGTCCTTCACATCAAACTTTGATATTTTAGTCCTGATAGCTCCTTCACATGTTAATCATTCGCTGCAATATTCTCACCTTCACATTCATTATTTTAGCGTTGATTTGGTTGAATATTTCACCTGATTTCATAAACCATGATGACATGGGCATAAAGGAAATCTCTGTTGGACCATTTATAGTCTAGTTCATTCTGAGCTCATCTTTCTTGCTCTTCGCTGTATGTTTTGGCTCATTATCCTCTTGAAGGCCGTATGACCTGCTAGGAGGCTATAGCTTCCTGACCATTAGCATGCTTCTCTTTAGGATGTTTTTATAGCCTTCAGACTTCATTGTATCCTGCTAAGATTATATATACCTTCAATGAGATACAATAATACAGCCCCAAAACAAAACAAAACCCCCTCCATGTTTTACAGTAGCTAAGCTGCATCCTTTTCTGTTAAATCTTCACTTCTACTAAAAACATAGATCTTATATGTCTGGCCATAAAGCTCTTGTTTTTCTCATCATTAAAATACATTCTGCCAGGAACCTTGTTTTGCATCTTTAAAAATTTGGTGATTTTCTGTCTATTGTAACATATTTCTAAGTCTTACTCCGTGGATCCAACTGTGGGTTAAATGTAAAAGATCAGATGCACCTTTATCTTCTTTTTGTGCTAACTGTAGGCACCATCTGTCTGACCATCCTGGGGTAACGTTTTTTTCTCAGGATGTGGTCAAAAGAACAAGAAGCTGCAGGAGATGATCATACAGCCTTTACAGATGTACATGATCTAAGCTTGTCAGAAAGCTCTGATCATTACTCTCTCTGCTTCATGTTCAGGGTGGTCCACAGAAGACTAACCTGCCCTGCAGCATGTTTCTGCCATTTAAATAGTTAAAATGACTAATGGAAAGCTTGAAGAAATATATAGAAGGATGAAATCCATGAAGTTTCTTTAAATAGTTTTTTATTTATGTTTAAATCACTATGCTTCCTTTTTTGAATTGCTGCTGAGCTAACTGCATATCTATTCTATAAATGATCAATTGTGTCTTTTGGAGTTCCAACGATTCTGTCCCTTTAGTATAGAGAATTATTTCTTTCATTTGAATCTATTCACTCTTTCACAAGCTAAAAGCAGACGTGTGCACTGAACGACGGCTTTTGATTGATTTTAACATTTAGTAGAAATAGAACGATTGCTCCACTGACTCCCGAAGAACAGGAAACATGAATAATTGTCTGCATCAAAATTTGAGGTGAAAAACCTTTAAGATGAAGGAAATTTATATTTTGAGTTATTGTCATCCAGAAGTTCAATGCTTTTCAAACATATTTCACAACCATTAATTGTTCATGGTGATATAATGAGAAATTTCCAGAGAAGTTTAAAATATTAAATTGTATGAGGACTGAAGCAACTCACATATGCAAATGGGTAAAAACATCAAGAGCACACTATGACTCTTCTTGTCACTGTTTGAATGAAACAGGGAAGAACATTAACATAAAAGTGGCCTACGCATGAATGACTGAACACAATCGCTTTACCAGATTGATGAAGCCATTAATGTTCATGTCTGAGCAGGACCTAATATTCTCCTTCCCAGACACACACATACACACTGGCTGCTTAGAAAGGCCTAAATAGAAAAAAAAAAACATGTTCTATGTATTAAATTAATTCTAGCTGAGACCACTGGCCAAGCATTACACAATGTAATTTAGTAAAAAGAAATATATCATCTAGTTTCTCCATGACAGCCATCAACAGTTTAGATGACAAATTGTGAAAAGTTTTAAATTTAATGGTGTAGAGCGAGAAAAATGACAGAGCCCAACATGAACGTTTAACAAAATGTAGCTTTGAAACAAAAAGGCAAAGTGGAAAATATGCAGAAGGAAACCAAACCGATTATTTTCATTTAAAAACAGTCCCTGATATAAAACACTTTTACCCCTTTATTGAACTATATCCAGTTAAAATAAAAGTGGGAACTTGTTATATCCTTGAGAATATAAAAAGTGTTTGCTTTAGTCAAGTTTTTTGGGTAATTCATAGGCCTAATCAATAAAATGCATATTGTCACACAAGAAGAATTGTCATGAGTGATAAGTTTTATCTCCAATGCTGGGTTGTTGCTTATAAACAACCAGAAAACACCTGCTGTTTGGCAAGTCGATAAATTGCCCCCTGAAAATAAGTCATTCAGGAAAGTGTTTGTTCTTAGTTTTAATTAGGAGACAGCTGTGCTGTGATTTATGATCTCCTTAAAATGTAATTTCTTTGCCCATTAGATCAACAATATTTGGGAAGTGATCACCAGTTTTAGTCCACAGTAGCCAAATACCTGCAGCACTTTGTTAGATCATCATCATGACTCTTGTCTTTCCACTGGAAAAATGAAAGCTATCATTAAACCATTTTAATATGTGTAAACGAAACTCAGTTCTGTTGAGATCATTTACCAATGCTTGACAAAACTGCACCATATTTTCTAAATTGACATGGACTTTAACTGGGTCTCAGATCATAAAAATACTTGATCTGACACACTGACCAACTCTGAACGAAAACATGATGGATACATATGGTGGCATGTTGAACAACTCTATTTTTTTTTTTACAGTTATATCACTGTCTTTTTTTATAACTTTTAATTATCCAGGACATATTAGCATGTTTAGCAAGTCTTGAATGAATGGTAAATACAGGGACGTAACTAAATTAATGCAAGTCCCTTGACTTTATCCTTTAAAGTAACCTTTAAAGGATATTTGGAATGTTTTCTCTCCAGTTTATAGATGGTTTCTTCCATAGATTAGTTGCAGTGGGTTTTATAAACAACAATAATCATAGCCTTTTATTTTAATGTAATAGTATTACATATGAATGTTATGTGTAGAGTCTTGATGCATCTGATGATCAGTGTATGCACTGCACAAAAAATCTAGAAATAAGTAAATAATTCTTAAGATTTTGTGTATTTACCCTTAATTTGAGTAGATAAGTAAGATTATTTGCCAATGGAATGAGTATTTTTGCTCTTAAAATAAGATAATTAGATAATATGAACTTGAAATAACACAATACAATTGTTTTTTTCTTATTTTAAATGTAAATTGTCTTGTTCCATTGACAAAATGTCTCACTCACCTCCTCAATTCAAGAAAAAAATGCACTTTTTTTAAAGAAAAAATTACTTATGTAGATTAATATTTTTTTAAGTGTGTTGACTGAACCCAGTCAATATCAAGACTTTTACATCTTAAAAAACAGAAAACGTTATCACGTGTGCATGTTTAAATAAAGCTGTATAAACTGTAACCCAAACTCTCAGGCCTCTGATTCTACATGAGTTCTTCAATATTTCATGGTCTATGAAATAAAAGAATTTCACTGTTGACCTCAAGGGAAAGTCATAAAACTTTAATGTAACAGCTCCGCAACAGATTCTACCTTTGGGACTGTTATTTGGTCTGGTTTTTGTAGGAAAAGTTGCTTGATTGTAGATATAACAGGAGGATATAAGATGTTGATTCATCATATGTGAGAAAACATATTTTATTATACAACAGATAAAACTAAACTCACCATTAAGGAAAAGTTCCTCTCGCATTGCTTGCCTGGCAGCAGGAGAAAAACAGCGCTTCTTTAGCCACTCTGCATCAAACACACTCATGTGTTTTTCGGGCCACACAATCGAAACCTGAGCAAATATAACTGTATTATTAAATCTCCTTAAAGCCATTCTTGTGTTTTCAATTCTTGACCTATAGTTGTGGCAACTCTTTAATAAAGTAAGCAGTGGTTTGGATCAAATGTACAGTTTCGGAGGAAATCTAATGTGATGAAAAAGTCTTTCTTTATAAAATATTGAAAAAAAAAACTTGATCTGTTTCTTCAAAAATAGAAATCTGTTATGTCAACATACATACAAGTTTTTAATGTGATATTTTCTGATTAAAATACAATTTTAAATAACTAGATCAAGGAATGGTCAGAGGAATTAAAGGAAAAATGGAAAATAAAGCTAACCAGTAAGTGTTCGTATAGGGTTTGTTTTATTCATTTCAAATGAAAAATAGAGAACACCTGTGAAGGACTCTCCTGGATTGTTGGGAATATCAAAAAGCGAATCTGCTAAGAACCATAAGAGCTGAATCCTCAGAGAGAAAGCAGCTCAGAGGTGATTCTGGTGGAGAGCTTAATGTTCAGGGGGAGTGTGCCAAAATTAGATCATCTCCCTTCCTGACCTCAGCACCTCATCACAGGGCAGCTGGACTCATAGGTGAGCCATTCCCAGCCTGGAAGGCTTTGACAATATCAGAGCACGAAGATTGTGATGTCATTAAACAGACATCAGTTTTGGAAATATAAAAAAACACAGAAAAGTCTATTAACTAGAAAATCATAAGGATACGTGCTCATAACCGAATAACTTTCTTGATAATTAAGATCGACAGCTGGTATCAAAATCTGTTAAGAAAAAAATGATGGACACAAGTGAAGCTGCTTTAACATGAAACTAAAGGTCTTTTTTTATCTTTACAGCAGCTTATAAAGGGCTTGAATGAACCCAATAAAGGCAGATGTATTAAAGCCCTAACACATACACCAGGGCTATAAAGTAATTACCATAGTACATTAATATCATGGCAACATGACAAATAATATTCACACAAGCAATAAACACTTTGTAATGTCCCTTGTGGACTGAAAACGAAAACTGAGTTAAGCAGTAAACTTTATTTTGTAGAAAACATTTTGCTGGCTCTATAATTGTACAGCTTTAATCTAATTTTCATTACACAACTTAGAGGCAGAATGTTTTGCATGGAAATAAAGGTATGAAATAATTATAAAACTAACTCAGTATGTAATACGCACTGTGGATCAATGCCACATAATGTAATCTTAAATACAAGTTTAGGATTAATTGTATAAAGTTTTTGCAAATTAAAGTGCTGGGAAGACTAATAACTATTATTGTGTGTACATGTATTAGAAAACAGGTCGGATTATGGTAAGGACCTACTTTGCCGTCTTTGGTAACCTCCACAGAATCCACTCCTGTATGGATATCAAGGTCTGCCAGCAACAGCAAGCGCGCCTCAGCCGATTGCAGGGTGCAGACTGGACACTGGCAGTTATCTCTCAACCAGGTGAATGGGTACAAGCTCTGTCCTCCATCCTCCCACTCCACCACCATCAGCCGCTCCTCCTCCACAACACGGACATGCCTCACTGAGTGACAGGCCACGGGGAGGGAGGCAGAGCCGAGGGTTTGATGGCTGCGAACATGAACTGGAGTTATGCAGAAGCTTGGTGCAGCTCCAGGAAGCTCCATCCTATGACAAGACCTCAGGGCCTTGCAGACCATTGGAGAGGCGCTCCTTTGCAGGACAGGACGGGCAAGTCGTGCAAATGAACTCATCCACATTTTGGAATCCGATCCCCACTTAGATTTAGGATAAGCACTGAAAACTGCCCAGAAAGAGAAGGAAATTATTAGAATTATCCATGCTGATGTTTACAATAAAAAAAAACAATAAAACTTTTATTGCAGAAAATATATATATATATGTAATATGCTATATGTCCTTATAAAATTAACGCTCCATCCACTAATACACCATTTCAAATGTGTAAAATGGTGATGGCAGCATCATGTTGTTGCAGTGCTTTGATTCTGTCACAGCTGGTTGGAACAGGGCTGGAGCTAAATACTTAGCAATCATAGCAGCAAATATATTTGATGCTACAAAATCTAAAGCCCATGTCACACCTTAACGATTTAGCCAGTGCATACATGATGCCCCAGAATCGTATAAAACGCTGGCATACGCAGGACTTTTTATGTATTCTTTCAATTTTGGGCGTATACATAAAGTAATCATAACGAGTCAGGAACTTATGTGAAACCACAGCCTAAATTATGCAAAACACACGGCAGTAATGCAATGCCCATTAAACGTCACAAGCCAGTGCCTTGAGGGGGGCAGCAATGTGCCTGGAGGCGCCCGGCTTGCATAAAAAGATGTCTATGATCGTGGTATTAACATAGCTTCTGTTTACCACCCACCCTAAAAGAAAGAATAAATAAAAAGACGAAAAGAAATAAAGAAGGTTTGCAGTCGCAGCAGTTTCAGCATCATCTCTGCTAGGAAGTTTGTTGGTTGTGGGTGTGAAAGCAGGAGGGGATCCATCACACTCACCTTCATGCTCACCCTATGATGGGGATGCAGTCTGGAGGAGTACAGACAGTTTCCTATTGTGAACCCCTTTTGTACCAAAACGCTGACATTACGCCATTATACAGTAGCTGGAAGTTAGAAACACGTTCAGCGGTCGTCTGGAACATGTTAGATACGTTGATATGCGTTGGAGATGAGTTCTTGATAAGTTACGCATAAGTTATGCACAAGTTACTCATAGTTTTTAAATAAGCTAGATGCCACGACTTATGAGTAACTTAGACTTAACGTATGTCAAAGATCAGATAACTTACCTGTAACTTGGTCCAGCATACGCTGGAATACGACAAAAATTTTGAGCATGCTCAAAATGCCTTGACATACTTGCAGTATGTTGACGTATGCCAGCTTAATTGAGCGATCTCATAACTTATACAAAATTAAACCTATAACTTATTCAAAGTATGCCAGCGTTTTTGCCAGATTTTTCATACGTCAGGCACATGCTGGCTAACACATTTTTGTGTTAGCCAGCATGTGCCTGGCTAACAGGAACAGACCTACCAGTAATCACATGTGTCTTTCAGATTGGAATGATTGTGTAAGGCCACGATGATCTCTGTGTAAGCATGGGACTTCCCATGATAATGGCTTGGATTCTTAAAGGAGAAGTTCGGTTTTTTACACTTTCAGCCCAATTTCTGTAGTGTCCAGTATGAAATCGAATGATCGACACCAAAATTTTGACAATTGCTCCTGTCTCTGCTTTTTGGCTCATTTAGAATCAACCCCTGGCTGCTTTAGAATGGCTAGCATAGAGCATGTCCGATAATGTCCTTAAAACAACCTTAAACGTTCTTTTTTTAAAATATGCTACTCACCGTGTTGTCAGCGCTGTTCAATGACGTTCCAAAAAAAGTTTCGTGAAGAAAAAACGTTCCTGTAGTGTTTTATTTAGCATTTTGTAAATCCCATTGAGTTCTGTAGGAATAGTCAATATTCCCCTGCCACCGGAAACGGAAATGGGGCCTGTTTACACAGTTGTAGTCTTTTCGCTTCACTCTGTGTACTCCGACGTCGAGAATCAAGAATCCACCTTTCGTATTCCATTTTCAGAGTTTTTTAAAGTGTTTAACAGAGACGTTAGCACCTCGACGTCGGAGTACACAGAGTGAAGCGAAAAGACTACAACTGTGTAAACAGGCCCCATTTCCGTTTCCGGTGGCAGCGGAATATTGACTATTCCTACAGAACTCAATGGGATTTACAAAATGCTAAATAAAACACTACAGGAACGTTTTTTCTTTACGAAACTTTTTTTGGAACGTCATTGAACAGCGCTGATGACCCGGTGAGTAGCATATTTTAAAAAAAGAACGTTTAAGGTTGTTTTAAGGACATTATCGGACATGCTCTATGCAAGCCATTCTAAAGCAGCCAGGGGGTGATTCTAAATGAGCCAAAAAGCAGAGACAGGAGCAATTGTCAAACTTTTGGTGTCGATCATTCGATTTCATCCTGGACACTACAGAAAATGGGCTTAAAGTGTAAAAAACCAAACTTCTCCTTTAAGCAAACATTGCCATTGACAGAGACGGCCATTGTTAGAGTCCCAGCCGCTAATGGATACAGGCCAATATTAGAGGATTTACGGTATTCTGCTGTAAAATGATTCTTATCGGGCTACTTTGAGTTTCACAGCCCCCCTCCTCACCCACGCTCTCTCCATTCATCTCCTGCTCGCACTCTTTACTCACTGTGGCAGCAACGTCCACCTCTCTTTCTATTGTTCTTTGAGAGAACGTGCTTATTTTGGGAAGTTTTTTCCATTCTTCCAGCAGCTCTTCTTTACTTTTTCTTTTCTGGAATTTGCTTAAGTACCTATTTTTGGTATCCATTGCCGCTAACACATTGTACGTAACAGTTATGTTTTTAATCTATGCTCTGGATTACCCATAATTCCAAGTCGTAGTGTAAAATATAAAATACTCAAATACATCGTTCTTTTAATACCTTTATTGCGGTTTGAAACATTTTATATGAGTGTATTTTTTTTTACCAACAGTTTAATGAACTATACACAGTTATTAACATAGTAATTAAAAGTACCACTGTCTGCTGTTTAAATAGCCCACCATTATGTTGAAATGAGTTGGGGTATAAATGGTGAACTAAGATGAATTTTTCACACCATTACAGCAGCAAAGTGACGTCCTAGTCCACATTTACGTAGAGGCCAACCAGGTGTCATTGACGGGGCCCCTAAGCACCCGCAGTCTCCGCTTATCGATAGTTACGCCACTGATTTAGTCCAATACATGTTACGTAATTCGATTCGAGTTAAAGAAAACAAACAGCCTAAGCAGCAGGTGACTCGGTGTTTGACAGCCCACGCACGGCTTCCGTAGTTAATATTGTGAATTCTGCCAACATTTATTAAGTTAGAAGCAGCCTTAGTGGAAATGTCCCGTTTAAAGCCTCTAACAGCCTGAAAGAATGAGCTAACAACCCGGCTGTTAGCATGAAGCAGAGCCGCTGGTTACAAAGCTACATCCGGAACAAACATCCACCCATTCTCAATACCCGCGTCTTATTACCTACTTTCGCCGGTGTTTCTGAATTAAACTGACATTGAAACAACCCGAAGAAACCACTAAAAGCTTCGCCGATAACAGAAGTTACCTGTAGTTTGTAAATGCCGGCCAGTTGTTTGCCTGCAGCAGCTGTCAGTCTGAAAGGAAAGTAGGTGAAAGGTCGACCCGGTCTGCACAGGGACAACAGCATCACTGCATGGCTGAAACCTTTGCTCTACTTTCTATTCTCAGACACGCAGTCCTGCTGAGAAATCACCAGTGGAACTGCCTTCATAACCAGAATCTATACTAGTTTAATTACCAATATACTGTTTAACAAATAAACTGGAATGCAAGAATTAAAGTTAGAATTATAATTTTGAATTTGAGTCAAATACATTACCGTAAAGAGAAAATGTTTGCCGTTTTTTGTATAATTAATTTAGCAAAGCAGGAGGAAGGCATACTTTCACATTCACTTTAATTTATTGCAAACTTTTTATGTCTCAAAACCATTTCAACTTGATTCCCTGCATTTAGAATACTATTTCAATCTGAAAAACTCACATGAAGAGAAAAGACAATTAGGAGAAATTTATTGATACAATTACTTTGTCTTAGGCGCTCAGACCTCGGCAGGAAACATAGCGCTTAATTTTGATAGATATGTATGAAAAGGAGCAAAGCCTGAAACAGGTGGTGGTGTCGAAATGATGAAGTTGGACAGTCTGTAGACTGCTGGGAGATGGTCTCCTGAGGGACCACTGGAGAGATCCAGTGATGCTAGAGCTTCACTCAGGGACCTGGAAGATGGAAGTCCAGTTGGATAACACAGGTTGAGAGAACCTGTCTTTGATGAGCAAGCATGGAGTGACAGTTGAGAGGAAAAACTCCCCATTGGGAAGAAACCTCTGGCAGAACCAGGCTCAACATGGCGCTCTTCTGCCGGACCGGTTGAAATGAGACAGGAAACGCAGTAAGAGTCCAGGAGGAATGTCACTCTGATGAAGCTTTAGCTACAAAGGTGGAGGAGGGGCTGGAGATGGGTTGAAATGGTGCCATCTTAATGAAGTCACACAGCACAACCTGCCTGTCCGCAGGAGCACACAAGAACGGATCGGAGGCCTTTTAAGACGAACTTTGGATACCAATTGGCTTTCCTGGTGGTGTGGTTCAAAGTTATTGGTCATACCGGTACCTATTTTCCAGGTCAATTACACTAATCTCATGTAACGGTCATGTTTATGAATAGGTTATTAAACTCTGCATAATGAAAAGATAAAAAAAAACAACACAAAACAGGGAAAAAAAAGAACAGCCTTTTATTCTGATTCACATAATTCCTGTCAAATAATTTCTGCAACAGTCACTCTATCTTATCTGATATGTCAAAAATGTGATCCTCCTAAATCCTGAAATACTCTCTAACCTCTGTTGTGCTTCTCCAGTCACATCTAAATGCATTTTCTATCTAACCCACACATCATTTACATTTTTACATTAGTGGTATTAGTAACCCTGCTCCTCTTTGGGTTACAACATATCTTATACAAATAACTAACAAATAGATGCATATATATTTAAACATCCATGGTGTCTAAATTAAAGGTATAGTGGATAAAATTCTTTCAGGTTTGAGCTCTGGGGCAAACATCTCTTCCATTGTCATTACTTACCTACTTTTATTAATAATCCTTTGGCATAAAATTGATATTTACATCTACTAATATCTACATGAATTGATTATTTAATAAGTTTTTATTAAAAGACTTATTTATCTATGATTTCACTAAAGACTCCTAGATGACTTGCAGAGACAAATTATTTTCTCTTTACCTCATATAACTAAAAATCTAGTTCTTAAAAAAAGAGCATGAATTGTCATCTTTAATGTTAGTTTATTGATTAGCATAATTAACCAAAGGGTTTTTGTTGTCAATTAATTGGTAATATCTGAAAAAATTAAATGTTTTGAATATTCCACTTGAGAGTATTACTGTTACCAAAATCTGTATTAGAGGGAAAAAAATGTAGGGGTGGCCACAGGGATGGCAAATGATTGGTTAAGGGTGGCCCTGGCCACCCCTGGCCCCCCATCTAGCTGCGCTCCTGAAAATAAGCTCATGTGTGATCAGTTTTACCTCTTTCACTTCAATCCTTTCCTTTTGCGCTGGATGTGCTGGATGGAAGATCAGTTCCAGTGAGTGCAGAGTGGTTGTTTATCAAAATGGCACATGCTCATGTCAGAGCTCTAGTTTATAAAGGCATTGTTTCGCAATAATTAACCTATGAACATGGACAGATGCCAGAATCCAAACGTAGTAGAGATAAATTTCAAAGGGTGAGTAATGGTTACAACTCACTCACCTTTGCAGCTAGTAATTTGTTGTATAACGAGCCTAGAGTCATTGGCCTGAAGTGTAATTTCCTCTCAAATGCACCGACATGAAACACACCACCGCCAGCTTCTACAAAAATTAGGTGATAAATGAGGTTTTCACTGCAAAGCTGCAAAAACTTTAATGTTGTGAGGCAGCTATAAACTGTGGAATTAATCTTGCAAATGAACTGCAAATAGTATATATATATTTATATATATATATATATATATATATATATATATATATATATATATATATATATATATATATATATATATATAATTTCTGAAATTAATTGAAAGTGATTAGACTTTGTTATTGTATTGTTATTTGAAATGATATTTAACATGGAGTTTTCAGTCTCGTAGACTGTCTGTGTCAATGCTTTTTTTCCCCACCCTGCTGCATTAAAATATCTCTACAGGAACAATCATAAATTTATATATTGATATAAAACAGAAAACATGAATATGTAATAATGCACCTACACACAGGATTCACAATTACACCCTATAAAGTCCTCTGAGATTAGCTTGAAAACTTCAGTAAATTATTTTATCTAAATCAAACCAACACTAAGCTCTACTAATAACTGCTACAATTATGTAAGATTAAAATATATATGAATTAAATATTTACTTTACATTGAAAAAAAAGTTAATTGTTTCAGGGTATTGCTTATTCTTTAAAAAAAAAAAACTATTATACATATATAAATATTTATATACATATAATAATATCTGACTATTTCCCTTCATAGTACAAATTTTCTATTTAAGCCTAAATAAGGAAGTGTTTCCTCCCTCTGGCAGAGACATGCAGTAGGTTAGAAGTACTTCAGCTGTATGTTACATGTTGTGTGTAATCTGTAGTCACAAAGTCGTTTGAAGTAAAACAGACCTCTTATATAATTTATAACCCCTGTAATTTTACATTATATAAGTATACTTTTAAGTCCTCTAAGTCAAAGTGTGTTTATGCAACATTATCTGTGGCCTCCAAAGATTTAATGATAGTTAAAAACAAACAACCCCCCCCAAAAAAGCAGCTGATTGCAGCTCAGTGAATGAGAACAAAAGAGGCTGTTTGTAAGGCTGACCGCAGCACCTAAAGCACGCACCCTTACATCTGTGTTCTCCATAAATGCCAATAAGCAGCTTCTTCCTTCAAAGCACATGTAATTAGTAGGCTGGTGCCTGAGATTATAATTCTTTGCAGACCTCAAACTGTTGTTAAGCAAACATGCAGAGAACTTGGTCATTTTCAACCATGTGGCAATATTATATACAATGAATTATTTGCATGCCAATGTTGCATCGCTGGTGGTGGGGGGGTTCTGCACCACAGAACCTCACTGCTACAGCTTTATGAAAATCCTCTGCATTATAGTGACATAAACTACTGAATAAAAAGAAGAATGATGGCACAAATTATTTGATTTATGGTGCAACCCACAAGTCCTTCACAACAAAAGCATCCTTGGTACTTAATTACTTTATTTGAAAAGTCACAATACAGTTTGATTAAGCATGTTGTCATAAAGAATATTCTTTAAACTCAAAATTACATGAGTGCTGCCAGCAGTCTTGTCTGTCAAAGTATTACATCGTTAAAGATCTGTGTGATCCTTGAGCTGAAAAAATGTACACAAATACAAATACACATTAGGGTATTCTATTATAAATGTACTCACAGTATTTACTTTTAATAATAACCTATATATTTTACATGACTATACTCCTTGTACAAAACTGCACAGCAAGGGGAATACACTATAAAACATAAGTCACAACCTTCAGCGCTGGTGCAGTAAAAACTGTGCAACATTTGCAAGCCAATAAAACCAGAGGAAATTACAACCGACCTTTCATTGTATACATGTAAACAAGCTTTGCTTTTCCTAGAAAAACATCCTTTATGGGGTTAAAAAAGATGCAACTACCGTTCCTCATCAAATGATCTTTTACCAAGACTATAATCAGCTGTTTCACTTTAAAATATAGAGCATTTAAAAGAGAAAACAAAACAAACAGACAACATACAGGACAGAATAATGAAGCTGACATATAAACTGGGAATGCTTTTCGATTGTAGTTCTATTCCAAAATAAACGTTTTGAAAGCCAAAGGTCCTTACATGCACAAAAATCATCCTTCCAATGATCCAAACAAACATATGTGAATACATGCACGCTACTTACATACATAAAAACATACAAACGTACTTACATAAATTTGGAGAATATGGATTGGAAATACAGTTACCCACGTCTTGTTTTGCATTAGAGTATTTTGTGCAAATCATCAGCCATTTTAAATTGAGCTAATTAAAAATCTACATTGTGAAATGATACGTGAACATATTTGCTGGCTCTGTACGATTCTTTCTGATTTAAACGGAGCCAAACAGAAATACTGCCTGGCCAGCACTTCTGATTATTTCATCCATTCGGATTATTTTTCCATCTGGCAGTTTTGTTTCCCACCAAAAAAACTGGATCATCATCACAAACCAGTTACATATACTGTGGGATAAAGTCATAAATACAAGAAGTCACTGTACATGCAACTTATTTTTTTCTAAACAAAAAATGACTAATCAACAGTTAATCTTTTTTTGCTCATGGTTGCTCTAAAATACACTACCCTGAGGCCAAGTGAATTAATTGCACCCATCTTATCTTTATTCTACACATAAGTTTGAATATATTTGTTTACTTTGGGGACTGTTGATGTTAAGGTAAATTGATTGTATGAGGTGGAAATTGTCCTCAGTTTCTATTTATGAAAATTGTGTTGAAGAGGCAATTGGACTTCATCTATTTATGTGACAATTACTGTCAATTAAACTAAGAGTATTTCACTCTGTTTAATTAGAAGAAATCTAAATTCTTCTGTTGTTATCTATTGTAAATACATTTCATTATTACAGAATCCAAGATAATTTTTCCTATGCTTACTTTTTTTTATATTTACTGTTTTTTTTTTCTTTTTTTTACCAATATGAATCATTGACACTACATATAAGCTTTGTGCTCTTCTGCTTATTGATTAGCATGACCATAGTTCTTTAACACTTTATAGGGTACTCAGTGAAATAGTATTATTGGAATCCAGGAAAAGACCTTATTACCTTTGTAACATAAAAAATATGGATGTTTTGATGGCAAAATTAATGTCAATGTAATAACACCAACTTGCCCGAATATATGAAGAAAAATAACAAAAGTGCTTCTATAAGAAATTCATGAAAAAACAATAAAAAAAAAATTTTTTTTTTTTGGTTTTACTTTTTAACTTTTAGTATTTAACCTTTTTTCTTGACTTTTCTTTTCAAACTTAACTTACAGTAGGTAATATATCATTCAAGGGCTCATCCAATTGGTCAAATGCCAAAATTATATGCACAGCCATGTAGCAGTATCTCTGCTGAATGGCTGGATATAGATCTTGTGCTTCACTGAGGGACGGGAGGGGGATCATAAACCATCACTTGCCCTATAAAGGGTTAAACAATGAAATTTGCAGAAAGCATAAGCATAAGGATTATTTCTCACTTTTGTTTCTATTTCAAATGGTCACATTTACATAGCCTTAAAATCTCTATGACCCACTTCCAGATGTTTGATCGAGGGGAAATTTTGCATGTGATGTTATTTAAATCTCTCTTAAAGTAGCAAATTACAGCTCTGAACTATTTGTGGTTTCTGATTTACATGTGTTTAAACTGAGTAAAGTCTGAAATGGAGTCTGTTGAGTGTGTTTTTCTATTTCTATTGGAAAGGACTCACACAGAGGGAGACTTTTGATGAAATTAAAGTAACTTATGGTGATGGTGTCTGTTATATGACCTTGCAAAATGTTTTATAAGGTTATATTATGGGACATTACCGCTATAAGTTACTTTCATTTCCCTTTGTTTGCGTCCTTTCACATGCAAAAACTCAGACTTTACTCAATTTTAACACCAGTAAATCAGAATCCAAAATTTGTTCAGAGCTGTAATTTGCTATTTAGTCTATAGAGGTTTAAAATACTTCACATGCAAAATTTCAGCTCGATCAAACATCTGGAAGCGGGCCAGGAACATTACTTATTGAACACACCTCCTAAGGTATGGGACCAAAAGTGGATCTAGCCCAGGGCCAACATTCTCTAAAGTCCTGCCCTGTCCCCTTCAGCGTGATACCAATACCAGAAAGTGTTGAAATTTAAAATATATATATTGCCATTAGAATTTGAGGTACTCGTTCTTCAGTCTGCTCAGTCTACTTCCATGGCTGCGGATGATCAGAGACAGCAGCTCGTGTTTGTCCTTCAGGCCCAGGGAAATGTCCAGGGTCTCCTTCAGGGAGTCCCGTGTGTGAACGATCATGGTGAGAAAGTCGTCACTGAGCCGGTGCTCCTCCTTCAGCTCGCTCTCCTGACTCTGTTTGAACTTCACCTCCAGCTCCAACAGGGATTTCTCCGAGTTAGTGAACGCATCGCCGATCTGGGCCGTCTCCCTGCGCAGATACTTCCCGTAGCTGTCCTCCCCGTCCAGGTCGTAGGAGATGCTCTTCCCGATCCCCTCCAACACCCGCGCCGAGTCCTCGATCTGCCGCTTGATCAGGGTGAAGTCATCCTTTATGACCGAGTCCTGGTCCTCATCCAGGCTGCACTTCCTTTCGTCGGTCATCTTAAAAAGCATCTGGCACTTCTCCGGGTCGTCGTTATCCTCATATTCTCCGTCCGGCACGAAATAATGATGAAAAGTGCCATTAGACATCTCCGGATGTAGTGGCCCCCGGTAAAAGGCTCCACCAGCTGGCTGCGACAACATCCAGGCACTTAGGAGCAAGTGAACAAAAATCATGATGGAAACTTGCAAGGTGTCAAATCTGAGTTTAAATATTTTCAAAATTACGCACTTTTAAATGTTATCCTTGTTCAGCGCGCTGCAAACAGGTTCCAAACTGCGCAGCTGCAGCTTTAATGTCCGTCTAATCAAACAAACAGGAAAATAAGTTGCTTCAAATTGTTTCACAGCTTCTCCTCCTCGTCCTTTAACCCAGTCTGACAGCTTGCATCACCGCTGGCAAGCAGGATAGCGGGGAATGAGAAAAAGTTTGCGCCGGCGTGGCTCTGCTCCCGACTCTGCCTGGTGCCTCAAACGCAACATCTGGACGTTTCAAGAGCCGCGCTCCTCTTTTCACTAATAATACCTCTGCGCTGCTCTCATGTTACAGCGCCTCCGTCATTTTCAAAAGGCTGCATTCAGGACTGGGGCTGGGAAAAAAAGCCTCTTTCAAACCAGAACCAAGACCAACTTTGAATTAATTTGCTCAAACATGCTCAAAGTTTATTACACTCCTGAGTATTATACAAGTGACCACATATATAAACCTGAAATGCCCTTTTGTTAACCAGCCCTTTAATAACTCCCTAGTGGCACACCTTTAAAAACGTCTTACTTCTTAGACATAAATTACGTTTGACAGAAATGTTATTCATTTTCCTTATATTAAAGTTTAAATTAGATTAAAATAAAAAAAACAAAAAAAACAAATATGATCCCAGTAGCTGTAGTATTGTCAGTATTAATCATGTCTCTAATTTTTATTAATATATAACAGCATGTGGGATAACAAGAATATATCAGCACAACCAATGGTGTAAATATCGGTAAGCAGAGACTGCAGTTGCTTAGGGGCCCCGTCGCTGGCATCTGTATGGCCCCCTAGCAAATTGTAGGACATTCCTCTTAAACCCACCTGATTCTATATTACCTTATTGGACCATATTTATACCCGAACTATGATTGATTTCAACATGATGGTTTTAAATACTATGTTAATAACTGTGTATAGTTCATTAGACGGTTGGTAAAAAATGCACTAATTTAATATGTTTCAAACTGCAATAAAGATCTTAAAAGAACAAAGTATTTGAGTATTTCATTGCTTACACAAAGACTCGGAATTATGGGTAATCCAGAGCATATATTAGGGGATGGGGTGTTGTACTTCATATGGGGCCCACCCAGATAATGTTGCTTACAGGCCTATTGTTGTGTCATTATGCCATTGAGCACAACTACACTTTAAAAACAGAATGCAGCTTAAATGACTTGCTTCATTTGGTAACAAGTAATTGAATTGATTTTTCCAATTTTAACTTTTTTTTTTTAAACATGGCAACTTATATAAATAATAAACTTCATTCAACTAACCTACTTGTGACCAATTAAAGCAATTAATTTATGTTGTAGATGCATTCACTTTTTAGAGTGTAATTAGATGAACAAAATATTGAACCCCCTTGATCTATTGAATATTTTGCTCATTATAATAATCATATTTTTAGTTTTTGAGGGGAAATACATTAGCCTTTGAAATACATGACCCCTGAACTACAGCAGATATAAAAATCTGAAATGTTTGGCACAAAATTGCATTAATCCCAGCTTCCAATATCCTTTGATAAATACCCTGCCATGTATCGCCTAAACCCCCTAACTGTCACAGTCTTTTGTTATGTTTATTTAGAGTATTCAGTTTTACTTTGCTCCTTGTTTTAGTGTTTAATTATTATTTTGTTTTCTTGTTAGTTCCTGTCTTCCAGGTTTTCCATTTGTTGTCCTCTGCTGCCCTCTTGTGTCCTCTATCCCTAGCTCTGTTTTCTGCTCTGTCCTCACCTGTTTCCAATCGTCTCGTTAGCCCTCTCTTTGTCTCTGTCCCCGTTAAAAGCCCTCCCTCTTCAGTTCCTGTTTGCTGGATCCTCATCTAACGTCTGTCTGCTTACCTCCTCTCTCCCTGGCTCCTAGTGTTTGGTTTCCCCTGATGTCTCCTTGGTTCTGGTTTGTTTGTTATTTTTGTTGGATTTTTTTATTCCTGTCTCTGTACCTGTGAACCTCATTAAACCCACCTAAATTCACCTCTGCCTACTTGCCTCTGCTTTTGGGTCCTCAATCCAACACCAAATCGTGACACTAGCTGGTAAGGTCTATCTGGCACTAAATACAGTGGCTCAGTCGAGCTCGGACTGGCAACGATTTTCGCCCCTGGCATTTTTCCATCTGATTGAAGCATTGAAGCACAGTCAAACATGTGGGTCTCAAATGTGAAACACAATACGAATAGACATTGTGGATGAACCGATCTATCTTTAAGCATCACAAGACTTCCATAATGCTTTTTAACTGGCTTTGGTAACCGAAGCACGTAAGACGGGAAACGTTAGCCTTTAGATGCAATACTCCATCATGCACCGCCATATATTTTTGCAAAATATTCGAACATAAATTTGCCAAATATAAGATGAACTTCGTAGTTTAGTTTAAAGAAAGCATTTTACTTTTGTTGCAAGGATTTTACAGTTTGAAGAAATGGAAAAATTACACCATATGCCAACCGTGACAACGATGTGCATGACAAGGAAGGGCTATATATACTGCATGCATCAGTTAGGTAGTTAACATTGTATTACTTCTTGAGCTCCTTGAGTTATTTACTGTCACAGGTAGGAGCTTCAGCCGGAGAGTAAGTGTTTTGGCCGGTATGATTTAAGGAGGGCCAGCCTTCGCACGCTGAAATTGGGACCCCGGTATCATAGATTACCAGTCTGAACCTGTGCTCAGTTATAAATAACAGTGAGAACTGAGGAACAGGCCAGAGAAGTCACAAAAAAAGTTGTGAGGAAGTTTAAAGAAAGGTTAGTATTCATGGAGCACAGGTTATTCCATCATCCGGAAATAGAGTTTGGCTTATCTACAAATGTACCAATGACCGGACCTTTTACTGTAAATACATGAACTGACAAGCAAGGGAAGGACCACAGTATGGGAAACTGCACATTTCAACAGCTCATTTTGGAGAATATGTCAAGTCTGCCTTTTATGGAAGACTGTATGATCAGAAATGTTTGAGGATAGAGGTTCCATTTGCAGTTATCACAAGCCATATTAAAGGACCTGATATTGGGTTGTTGTTAACAGATTTATTGACACAGCAATCAATGAAATACATAAAAAGCAAATCAATGAAATACATAAAAAGCTTTAAAAACATAAACAATTTGTCATGCAGTGATTATTCATCACTTTTTTTTTTTTTTTTACATTTGCTGTCAATATTCATAGAGAACTAATATATCCTGCCAGCAGGCCAAGATTGAATATAGGAACATTTTGCAAACTGTATTTGTATTATGTAATGTCTGTAGTATCTGATTGAGATCTTTACTGTAATGTTTAAATAACTTGTACCAATGGCTTAGAGGGAAATCTGGCCTCAGGAAGAAGATCTGTTAGAAGCTGCAAAAAGACTCGAGACCGGCTGATTATTTCTGTTTCTTGTGAACAATGGTCTCACTTATTCAGCCAGATTGATAAAGGAAAGGTTCAGATCCAATATTCAGGCATTATAATGTCCCCGACAAAGTCCAGACCTGTTTATAGATACTTTCCGTGCAATCTTAGTAAGTTTTATACAGAGATGAAGAAGTGGTAATTTTGGTCTTTCCATGTGTAAAGAGACAATGCAAAGAGGTTTTTACCTTCTAAAGGTAAAACATGAAATAAGTCGAAATCAGTACTAAGAATTATAGCTTAAGAGAAAACAAGTTCCTGTATTCTTAAAGGGAACGCTTAGTGCTACACTTTATTACAACCATTTAAACTCATATAAATACCTGGAAGGGTACTGAAATTTCTAAAGATCAGCTACAAAAAACAAAAGTTGTTTTACAAATGTGGTATGTCTAGAGTGAAACATTTGTCTCTGTGAAAATGTGGGACAGCTGCAATTCAGAAGAGCTGTCCAGACTGGTCAAGGTTTAATGCTGGATACTTGACTGGACGATCTGGTGATATGATCTGAAGAACAGCTGTGTTATTTTATCCAGTAATATGTCGTCAAGGCTGTTGCAAAGGATTCTGCATGAGGTCCGTTTAGTATTTTGACAATGTGTAAAGAAAGTCAAGTTTAATCCAAAACCCACAACTTACTTACGTAATGTGAACTAAAGATGTGTCAATCCTAGACCTGTTATGCTTAAATGTTTATTCATCTAAGCCCAAAGCTACTTATTTGGGTGCAACATAAATATAGTGGGACATTTTTTTTGCCTTGAAATATTCTGCCAGTAAAGTCAGAAGCTGAAATAGACACCAACCTAATGACAGGGCTGTCCTCCTTCATTTGGCTACTGTAGCCACTGAAGAATGACTCAAGGTGAAAACTGTGTAGATTTTTTTTAACATGGTCATGGAGTTCACGAGCCAACATGCTAAAGGTGATCCAATGTTTTAAATCCCCACAATGCCACAGAGCATGTGCATATCTTTCCTGGGGAAACAGCAGAAGTCATTAGATTGCCTACCCCTGCTGACGAGTCCTGTGCTCATTCTTTCCATAGCAGGGGTGATTATTCACTGTTTTGACATGCAGGGATTAGGCTTGAGAAGAAGGACTTCCACATAGTACACATATGGTTAGAATGTTTGGAAATAGCTGAATCAATCCATTTCCCATAAATGGTACTTCTCTTTAAAGTTCAACCAAGAAGCAATGATATAAAAAAATGAATAAAATAAAAATGCACAAATTCAGTTTAATTATTTTTTTAAACAATTTTTGGGTACCTGGCTAGCTAGTCACTGACTTTCCAAGGCTACAATATCTGATGGAGTAAATACTGTAACTGTGATGATTCCTGACAGTTACTGACTGTGGAGCTGCTGTGTGCAGTCCCATGGCGTCGCCCACAGCTCCTTCTACTGTGATGGCAATCAGGTCTGAGCAGTTATAACTGCAACAGCTCCAATCACTGGGAGTTGCTGCACCTGGTAGGAGCACTATATATTTCTGATCTCCCCAGTGAGTAACAGCCAAATTCCTGAAAAATGTTTGTGCAAGTAGGACATCCAGCGCTCCAAGTTTTGAACTCCCAGTCTTGACCTGTCTCGTTCCTGTTTCTCTTGCCTTCCTCGCCCCTGTTCGATACTTTTGATTGCTTCTGCCCTCCTGCCTTGCCTCCCAACCAACTCTGTCTCCTTTGCCACTGTCTGGATTGTTCTGTCGATTGTGTCTATTACCTAAACCTAGTCCTCAGATCTTTATTTGTCCCTCTGGAAATTGCTGCCCAGTTTGTGGGCATCCATTTACCAATTCCCTAAAAATAGATTCCAGATTCC